AAAGCCGGAAAAAAGCGTCTAGACTGGCCCGATCCTCCGGAATAAAGCCCTATTCCGGAGGATCTCTTATTCCTACTTTGAAGTAGGAATACTTTGAAGTAGGAATAAGAGATCCTCCGGAATAGGGCTTTATTCCGGAGGATTGGGCCAGTCTAGACGCTTTTTTCCGGCTTTTCCCCAAGCTGGAAAAAAAGCGGCGGCCATGTTTATTTAAATCCGCGGGGGATATTTAAATCCCCCGCGGATTTCCCTATTCCCACTTTCAAAATCAGCATGCCCCTTCCGAAGAAGGGGCCAGTGTAGACGTAGCCCTATTGCCATATCAAGGGTAGCTCTTTAGCAAGGTCTTTAGTGAACATTTAACCAAGGATGCTGGGTGAACACTCAGCTGGGGAAGGCAAGCCCCAGTCCTGCCCCTTCCACAACCTCCCTCCTAATCCCTATGGAGCTGAGCCACCCCACGCCAGGTGGCTTAGCCTTCCCCCTCCCAGCGGGTGGTGTGGCCCCAGTCTTCAAGCAGCCAGAAAGCTGGGCAGCCACATGGCGGCCCCGCCCAGCCAGAATCAGGGCAGTTTGGGGAAGGCAATGCCTTCACTTGCCTGTGTTACCTGCCGTTCCTCATTTCACCAGAGAACAAGTCCGCCTGGCTCTCACAAATGGCCATGAGACTGAGGCCCTGCCTGGGCCCGTAACAACAGGCCTGAATCCAGAGCTGGGTGCAGCGAGATGGCATGACGCTGTAGCCTCGATAGGGTCAGAACCGAGCTCCCAAGGCAGGTGAAAGCCTTGGCTGTGTCGCAGAATGCACCACCGCTCGGAGCCCATTGGCACTGTTACTACAACTGGGCCATGAGCAGCCTTTTGACTTCAGCACGAAACGCAGAGACGACACATGCGCCTGTCAGGCTGGGCCACGGCGGTGCAGGATCTGCTGCTGCCCTGGAGTAGAGTTCCTTCTAGTGCTGTTGCTGCTTTGCCTGGGAAGCTTCCCCTCCCCCTCCTTGGTTCTTGTGCTGGCGAGGCTCTGAGAAGGCCCTCGGAGAGGCTGCAGGGTCTGTGTTCCCTGGCACATGTTGTTGATCTTGGGCAGATTCCTCGTTTGACTTCTCAGACAGCTCATTGAACTCCCATCGTACCTCCTGAAGTGACACGGGGAGCCCCTCAAAACTAGGATGTAATAGTATAGTCGATTAACCGATTAACCAATAAGCAAAAGCTTATCAGTTAATGCTATAGACCACACGCATTTCCCCTGCCCCTTGCCAGTACGTTTTTTAGCAGGCTGGCCAGCAGTCCAGCTCAGTCCTGGCTTGTAATGGGTCTGGGACATACCCCCGCTTCATTTAAAGTGTATTAGGAGTGAGGCGGGCAGGCAGCCCAGCTCAGTTATGGCTCATGCTGGGTCTGGGAGCTCAGACCCCCACTAGACAGGGGCTGCTGCCCCCCCGTATTGCTACCTCTTTATCAGAGGCAGCTGCATAGGGCAGCAGGCAGCTGGTCTGTGCGGGGAGCTGGTTTTTAAACTGGCTTCCCTCGCGGACCAGCTCCCGCCTAGCACCCCGCCCTGCTGCCTCTGATACTGGCTGCTGGCCTCACCCTGGGAGACTATAGAATAGTCGACTAACCATTAAGAATTCATGAGGTTACTTGACTATTCAATTAACCAATATTTAACATCCCTACTCAAAATCACAGCATGCCACACCTCTATTCCTCTCCACCCACAGCACTCCAGATTCACCAGTGTCGCTACTCACCACCTGGAGAGGTGGGCAGGGATTAGCAGCCCCATTTCACAGGGGAAACCAAGGCACAGAGCAGTGAAGTGATTTGCCCAAGATCACCAGCAGGTCAGTGGCAGAGCTGGGAATAGAATCCCAGGCCTGTGTATTAAGCATTAGACCACACTGCTCCTCAGGAGCCCTAAAGGAAGGATACAGTGCCTGGGACTTGAAAACAGGGCTGTGCCCGCACACATGCTGCCGGCACACTGAGGCACACGCACAAACCCACGGATCTGTCGCCATGCAGCATGTGGCCAAGAAGTCACTTCCTGGCATGGCCGTACAGATGTGCCTTGGGATGAAGCTGTGCCAGGGGACAGTATCCATTACAGGAGAACAGGAAATGCAGACCCACGCAGCCGCTTCCAGCAGTTCCAGATGTGCGGGGAGCGCCGGCTCGGCTACACTCCTCCCTGCAGAAAGAACCGAAAGCGGAAGGCGCCCTCCCCTGCTCTCCCTCTGCCTTGAGCCTCAGCTCCCTTGGTGCTGTCAGAGCGCGACCTCCAGCAGAGGCTCCAGGCCTCTGAAAGCGGCATTTCCTCTTTCCATTTGGCAGGCGATCGCTTGGCAGACCCTCCTCTGAAGGGAGTTAATTTCCTGCCGCGCAGGGTCATCAGGGCTGGGCTGAGTCAGTGCTGCACATTCAGGCATTGTGAGTCCTGTACAGCACATCCACGCTGAGGAGCCCAGGACAGCAAGCTGCAGCCACCTCGCTGGCCCACAGTGACCCACGCCGGTTCTGCTGCTGCTTCCACTTCTTCCCTGCGAGCTCTGAAACTCCCCAAGGCTGGAGTGGAGACGTTTCCTCTTCCTCCGTCTGTTTCTCCTGCGATCTACAGCGAAACAGTGCCGCCCATCAGGCGTTCCCGATCCAGGGCCCCAGCCTCTGGACACAGGCTAAGAGCCGGGACGCGGAGAAGAGAGGCCGAGCAGGGAATTGGCATTCCCTCACCATGGAGGCTGGGCTGTTCCTAGCAGTGCTGCTGCTCGCTTGCACGCCGTTGCACACAAGTGAGTGACTTCTCCTTGCCAGCGCGTGGAGTGCGGGGGGGTTGGCTGAAGAGGTTGGTTTAATTCTGTGTTCTCCTGCTTCACGTTGGCCCCCTGAATCCAGTTTAGCCAAGCTCCCTGTTTTCCCACGCAGCAAGCAGCCCAGGGCACTTTCATGTGCATGTGTGAGCTAGACCCAGGCCGTGCGCCGCTCTGTCCCACAAATAGCCAGAGCCCTGCTCTCGCACCGGGAACCTGCACCCGGTGGGACTCTGCAGGCTTCTCCATTGCCCATTGCAGGCTCCTCTCGCTTTCAGTGGAAAGTGGATAGTGAGAGCAAAACCCAGCCTTGATTTCACTTTTGCCCACAGTGCGGGAACCCACAACGCCGCCTAGCTCTTACCCAGCCCTCTGGTTAGCTCTGTCACAGCCAGTGATTCCCTTGGCCAGCCGGGAAAGCTCACCAGCACCTCCTCTTCTGTCACCCAGCTGAATTCCCTAGGCCGGGGCTGTGCAATGGCTGCAGGAGGCTGGGGCAGCTTGTTTCTCAGGACCCAAGACTGTCGCATGACGTCTGTCTCCTGTTGCTGGTAGAGCCAGATCCTGCAAAGTGCAGATCGTCTCTTGTCATGGGCTCAGCTCCGTAAGCTTCCCTGGGAGTCAGGCAGTCTGCAGCCCATAGGACTGGTCTCCCTGGGCCTCATCCAAACCCACTGAAGTCAATGAGAACCTGTGTGTCGACATCAGTGGATGTTGGATCGGACCCCGAGTTAGCAAGTAAGAAAGCAAATTACTGAAAAATAGCGGAGGGGAGGAAACCCTTTCCCTGGCCTGAGATGAGGAACGGTTTGTGGCTTCCCAGTGACCCTCCAGATAAATCTCAGTTCTAGGACTGGACAATACAAGCCCTGTGCAAGGCAGCTGAACAGCTGTTAGGGGTTTCTAGGCTATGCCAGGCATCCAAGGGCTGTGCTGCCCAGGTCTCCTCTCCCATGCCACTGCACAGAAGGGAGGCTGCTCTGACCCGTTAGGTTTGGTATAAAACCGTGTTGAGCTGGGGATAACTGACGTGAGTGCTCGGTGCTGGGAGATGCAGGGGCAGATCCGCGGCTGATGAGAACGAGCACACGCCCCAGTGGCACTGCACAGAAGGGAGGCTGGTCTGACCCGTTAGGTTTGGTATAAAACCCCTTTTGCTTGTGCAGCCAAATCAAAGTCATGGGGCTGCCACCAAAATGCTGAGCACTGACGTTTGGCAGAGGCTCTAGCTTGAAACGTTGCTGGGACCAGCCAAGCCCGGCTTTGTTTGTCTCACTTTCGACTGTCAAGGTCCGAGGCAGTGCAGGGAAAGGGGAAATGAAAATAGTGCTTGAGCTTTTGAGACCACATAAAAATAGGGAATTTGCCAAATATCCTGGATTGGGATGAGTCCTCTCTCTGCAACAGTATGCTCTGGAGAAGGGGGCTGCTTGGGAAATTACCCAGCTGCGTTTATTCACCCTCCTGCTTGTGTTTAGGCCAAAGAGCAAAGCAACATTGGAAGGGAAAAGTGCAATTCAAGATGAGCATTTGAGCAACTGAACAGAAATCCATGACAAGGGCACATAAAGGGGCTAAGGGCAGCCAGCAGGGATGGAATTAAATCTTGCCTGGGAAGTGACCTGGGGATTTGGTGAAGGGTCGGCCTATGGGATCTCTAATAGACAAGGTAGGGACGCGCTGTGAAAATTCTCATTGATTCCGCAGTGATTTGAGCAACTGAACAGAAATCCATGACAAAGGCACATAAAGGGGCTAAGGGCAGCCAGCAGGGATGGAATTAAATCTTGCCTGGGAAGTGACCTGGGGATTTGGTGAAGGGTCGGCCTATGGGATCTCTAATAGACAAGGTAGGGACGCGCTGTGAAAATTCTCATTGATTCAAAAGCGATTTATAATGTTCTCTGATCCCATTCACACAGCCAGGCCAGCACTAGGCTTAACTCCAGATCCACAGCGTGTTAGGCTTGGGCACAGAAGAGACCAAGATCAAGTTTCCAGGAGGATCCCGGGTGTGAAAGTAGCATGGTTATGACTTCCCCTGGCACAAAGCACTGCAGTGAGGGGCTGGGTCACCCCTGGCTTACAAGCTGGGCTGCCTTTCAGTGCTCTGCTGCTGCAGCTCCCAACCTGCATGAAGGGCAGATCCTAGGTGTCTGTGCATAGCCACAATCCTGGGCCAGCAGCCGGGACCTCTCAGCAGCACACCAGCCATACTGTGGCTCCCCCCAGGTGTTACAACATGCGGGGTGACCCCCATACACAACCAGCCTCGAATCGTCCCCAAAGAGTGTGTTCTGCACAGTCCAGATGGGTTCGATCCTGCAGCCCTCTCAGGGGGTCAGTACTCAGCAGCTTGCTGTCTTAAATGAAGTTTCCCTCACAGGTCACAGCGCTGGATTAAGTTAGACTACAGAACTGAACAAGGTTATTGGAGTCCAAGGAGCTACGTTTTGAGTACAAGTGTAGGGCATTACAGTCGGAAACATTAACAAGAGAAATAAAGATAAAACCACCTCCTAGAAGAACTACATTTAACAAACCAGATGTGGTTCAAGGTGAAATTCTTACCCCAGCTTCCCAGTAGCATTGCTGGCCGAATTCTCAGGTCAGGGTCTGCTCCCCAAATTCAGCGAGTCTTGTCTTCTTAGACTAGAGAGGGGTATGGAGCGAGACCCCTGGGTGTTTTGCCCCTTGTTTTTATAGTTCCTTCCCTTTTGAAAAGCATTTTTCTGAGTGTGCCCCCGAGTTAAAGTTCTGTCCAGCTGGGACCTAGGGTGGCTGGTTGAGGAGAGAGGCTTCCTGCTGTTTCCTTTCACTGGTGGATTCTGAAATACAGATTTTCTGTCATCTTTCTCCCCCTCTCGCTGTCTGCTTAGATGTAAATTGAGGTGAACAGGTAAATTCATCCGAGGAAGTGGGTTTTACCCACAAAAGCTCATGATATGATATATTTGTTAGTCTCATAGGCTACATCTAGACTACAGTCTTCTTTCAGAAGAAGCTTTTTTCAGTCTTCCAAAAGAAAACGTCCACACTGCAAAAGTGCATCGAAAAAGCGATCTGTTTTTTCGAAAGAGTGCATCCAAACTGAATGGACACCCTCTCGCATATAAGCTGTGATTGCTACGGACGGAATGGCCACCAGGGCACCTGTGCTTTTTCCTCTTTCCTCTTCTTCCGAAAGAACTCCCACTTCCCCATCCACACGCACCTTTTTGTGAAAGAGCTCTTTTGGAAAAAGGCTTCTTCCTCATAGAAATTGGTTTACTAATGTTGGAAAACTCCCCTCTGTTTTTTCAATTTTCTTGCAGAAGGACACAATTACAGTGTGAACGTTCCTCAAGTTTTGTTGGAAAAATGGGCAGCGTGGACATACCCTCAGGTTTCATAGGACTGCTCGTTGTTTTTAAAGTTACAGACTAACACGGCTACCCCTCTGAGACTCATCCCTTAGTTTAAGCCAGGTCTGCTTGACCAGTTTTATCTTGTCAGGGCTATGCAAGTTTGAACATATGTCTTTAGCATCAAACAGGGGGATGTCAGAACTTTACTCGTACGGTTGCTATGTACGCTGTTGATCTCATTGATCAGCGAGTTGCTAGTTTTTAAATGATACCTCCCCAGGGTGTATTTTGTACAAAGATGTGTGCAGGCTGTGGCTACTGAGGTGTGTGGGCTCCCAATGGGTACAGATGGTTTTTAAACATTAAAGCACCAAAAGCCTGGCCCACCAAACCAGAAGGGCTGGTAAGCATGGAAGCATTTTCAGGGATCTCTTCTGCAGTTTGCTCAGCTCAGGCAAGATCACTATTGACTAACTGCAAGATTCCCATGAGTCAATTTGATGGATTCTTGCCAACCACAAGCATTCAGAAGTCACGCATCAAGTCCCAACAAGCATCAGAGCAGTTTAAAAAGCACAAGCTATTAGAAAATGGGTGAATATCAAGGGGGGTGTTTTTAGCTTTCGGGCTCCATTTGAGTCATATATTCAAACTCTTCTGTGCGACGAAGCTGCTAATAAATTACAGGTCAGATTTTCACCTAAACATATGACTCCAGAAGCTGGGGCTTTAAGAAGTCCCCTCCCCTAACTATCCCAGCACTTGTGATAAAGCTACATGCTTTAGCAGCATGTGATGAGCAGGCTGGGAGAGCAGTGTGGAATCTCAGATCCCAGGGAGCACACCCATCTGCAGAACAGCGATCGTGGAAGTATGGTAATGGAAGTTCCCGGAGAATGGGAGAGGCTGTGTCCTGAGACAACGAGCCACTAAGGGAAGGTACATCCCTAGTAGTTGGGTAATACCTAGAGGTGAGGAAGGATTGTGCTGATTTCAGCACTGAGCTCAATACAGTGAGGGGATCTACTGCAAGTGATGGCTCATGGAGAACTTCTAGGGGGCTGGATAATCTGGTTCAAATGGGACCGGACTGCATCCAGACAGCCTCAGTGAGCCCAGTGTATCCCTAGTGGAACCTTGTGACTTCTCTGGACCTACACCTGAGGATCGTCTCTTTCATTTCTACCACTGATGTTCCACATGGCAGGCACTGGGGCCTCCCCTTGGAGCCCTGCAGCATTCTGGGAGGGGGATCTGTGCTGACTGACAGGTGGGGATGGGCGCGAGAACCAGTGAAACAAGCCTTTCATGGACGTCTCACTTGGCACACTTTGCACAAGACTTGTCGCAAACATATAGCAGTGGGTGTTTAACCAGTTAACCAATTAAACTGGGGGGCCAGCGGGAAGGTCGCTCCAGCCCAGCTGGAGCAGCCCATCACCATGGTGGGCCCCTTGGGGCTAGAGCAGCTCCCAGCTCCCACCCCTTAACCAGAACCTGTTAGCATCACCCATTAATCAGTTATCCGGTTAACCTTTCACATCCCTAATTACAATCCAGTACAATCACGCCCTCCCATGCAAAATTGAAGCAGGAAGGGATGACACAAACATCGCTGACGGCATTCCAGGGACT